TTACGCAGCCAATCGGGAACCGACTTTAAGTTCGCCGGCGAGAGATTCGGGCTCGCGTTTAGGGAACTCTTTATCCACCTAAAAGCCAACTTCATGTCGAAAATACAGACACTTCAGTAAACACTGCACTGCACTGTAGAGCAAGAAAACACAACGTTTCACGACGAGCAAAATAGTTAAACTGGTCCTGAGGTCCGGGGCTATCGCCTAGGGACCGTACCTATACCTTCCCGAATTCCCAGGCCTTAACATGCTGTATAAACACCTAGAGTCTAGAGCAGCGTTTTGCTACCTTGTTGCCCGTGACCCCAAAGTAGACCTGGTTTATTCGTGACCCCACAAAGTGTACAACGCGGCCCAAAGACGTGCATAATGTTGGCGAACCCAACAAAAAAAGCAAAAGTTGGCCAACAAAAGAAGGATACGCTGTTCAGCCAAATTCACATTGGCGTTCATTTTGCCCAACCGCCGTTAGTTTGGTTGCCGCAGTCACTTTAATTTCCGTCTTTTGGTAATCGCTACGTGTGCTGCCGTTGTTCAAGTAGCGGAATTCATAGATCGAGGCTGGAAGCCGCCAGCCCCGCGCGGTCCGGTTGAGGCCCCCGTTCGAGGCCAGGGCGGCCCGCGACCCCCAAGTGGCGCCTCACCGAGTCGGCCTCGTTTTAACTACGCCGCTCGTGGCGGGCAACAAGCGACCGGCGAGGCTGAAGAATTTTAATAAGTCAGGTGAAGGGCTAGCCCTGCCTTGTTTGTCAGCCCGAGAGTCGGCCCGCCCACGCCACCGGGGCACGGCCAGGTAACCCTGGACCGGAAATGAACAGGCAAAAAGACGGCCACATCAGGTGCCGCGGCCGGTCGCGCCATCGGATCCACGAGGCCAAGCCATGGTCTGAGAAAAATTCGCGCGCGAAAATAAAGCAAAGCCACCCGTCGGGTTGGGCAGGGTGTAATCAAGGTTTTGATACCTTTGAAGGGACGACGCGAGGGCGGGCGCCGGCGGCCCGTGCAACGCTCGACCCCTTCCGTCTCCAATCCCGCCTCATATCGGGAACCACGGGATCCTACGCAAGCCACCGGCCGGGTTCTTCTGACTCGCGTGGAGATACTCGCGGATCGCTTGTTTTCCCTTAAAGCTTGATAATATTGATAATTCATTACAGTGGCCACTCGCATAGCCGCGCATCTCATAGCTGCGCAAAGCTCTACTAGCCTGACCCCACTTCCCACTGCTCAAGGCCATTCTCAGCTGGCGTGGATTCTTATTGTTCTCTGATTACTGTTCAACAGCTTTGAAGCTAAATAGCACATACAGCACTGTGGCT